TTTTAAATTTGAATGATTAAAATACTTTTACATAACGATGTTTCTTCTACCAGGAAGCACGTTCTTGGCCAATTTTGAAATTTTTGGGAGAATTATTTAAAGCATGTGTTCTAGAGTCACTGTTCTAAGATCATATTGAAACTTGAACTGTTCTGAAACACAAACCATTTTTTTCCCAGTTAACCCAGAGTGTTTCATCGCAAACTCTTCGTGGCGACAAATCTGCTCCTGTGACAAACCGCCTCCAAATCGTGTGAGAGTCTTACCGAAATGCCCATTTTACAACGAGAATAAAGTGTTTCAAACCTGGTCCTTAAACATTTTTAGTAAATTCCCTACTCGAAATAACTTTTGAGTGGTCCCCCCAATATAATAGATAAAACTGGACTAGGCCTATGTTTTCTTGGAATCAGCACAATACATAAAAAAAATCTACATATTTCAGGATTTGTGGATATATTAATCATTAAAATCCATTCAACAGTATCAGCAAACACACCTAGGCTTACCTTCTTTTTTGTCCTCTTGGATGGTTTTGGCCTTAGTGTCTGTGATGTCCTTAAACGAAGCCAGAAAAAGCACCACGTCACCCTTCTCATTCTTAATTGGCACGATGTCCAGCAGACACCAGAACAGTGCAGCTGAAGAGAAAGAAAACTCTTGTTAACAGTGTTAAACACCATTTCTGGCTAGGCACTGAATGGATCTACTATGTGTGTACGTGTAAACTTGTGTATGTGTGTGTGCACAGAGCAACAGCTCTGCAAATTTCTCAACTTACTAATGAGCCTACCAACAGTTAGAAATCACACCGGGGACAGGGAGAGACTTTAAATAGGCCGAGGCAGTGTTCCCTTAAAGCACAGTGAGGGGCGAACTCATCTCCGAGGTCCTATTTCTCGGTAAATAGGTTGCTTTTGTGTGTTTTTATTTATTTTTTGTTTTTTTTGCAGCATTAGGATATTTGTGCTGATTACTGTAATACTTCACAAGCTCATTTTCAAAAACAATTCATAGAATGTGTATTTTTATTTGTTTGTTTTTGCCTTCATAGAAAATAAAGCTGGACCAGAAAACAGTATTTTTTACCAAATTTACTGTGGCTGAGTTTTATGGAGTATTTTAGCACTTTTTGCCTCATTATTTAAAGTTTATTAAATGCTTTTAGAGCTCTGGTGATGGTGCTGTTTAGCAGCGTTAAGATGTTTCAGAAAAATAGCAAACCAACATTGTAATTGTTGGTAATTCCAGTCGTCCATAGTCATTATTATCATGTCCCTAAAACTCGGCTGAAGCTGCAGAGGCGACAGAGCATTTTGCTGTTGCTGCTCCTAAGTTATGGAACAATTTACCTCTGAGTGTCAGAGAGGCCTCCTCTCTTCCTGTTTTTAAAACTCTTTGAAGAACACACTTTTATTCTTTTAACACACCGTGATCTTGTGTTGTATGGCATCTTTTTTTTTGTTCCGCTCTCAGAGGAGTTAGACGCATTTTACTTCTCTCCTGCCCTTCCTTATCTTTCCCAGCTTTGCTGCTCGGAGCTTTCTCTACATTTTTCATCTGAAACCAGAAATTATGGATATTTTTATTTTTATGGATTTGGTTAGCTGGTCTCTTAATAAATTTTTTGGAGCAAAGTTTTTCTTCTTTCATGGGAGGACAAGTCAAAGGTGGGGCCTCAGTTCTTCTCTGTTCTGGATACATATCTGGATTCTGATACTGGATTCTGCAGATCAGCCTGGTGGTCTCCTGTTGTTCTACAAACAGTGTTGGTGGTTTTTCATCTCCTGGCTGACTGACCAACTTGATGGATGGCCGTACTATCACTATCAGTACTTGGACATTTGCCTTGAGCGAGCTGGACTCGGTCTGCAAGCGGTTCTATTRAGGGTCGCGGGACCGCTGTGGTCCCTGGACTTYGCTGGCCAGRTGGAAYTGATCTTGGAGAAARCCGAYAGATCGGCTYGGYGGAATTKTCCACACTATTTGTCTGATTGGATTCGCCACCTTGAGATGYACCAGCAGAACTCTAAAGCAGAWGGAAAATTGTTATCGTCTGCCTGACTCTTYTGTTCCCAAAACAACTGATTACAGATTTGTCTCTCCTCTACAGCGGCCTTGAAGAGCTGTTGGACTAAATTCTTCCTGGTTGGATTACGTCGAATAAGGCTCTGCCCCCACCCCTCACCCCTTCACCTGTCTGTGATCTGGTTCCTGGGCAGGCTGAAGGCCACACAGAATGAACAGTTAACATCCATATTCTGAACTGTGGCTCTGCTGGTTCTGGGGACTGGATTCTTCAGGCTCATTCTTCAGATATTCACACAATCATGCAACACTCGTGGTTTCAGATACACACACCCCTAAACCCACTTACTCCTCTGGCTAATAAATCTGCTCTATGCAGAGGTTTTTTTATAAACACCTTAGTGTGTCACAGTGTTGATACAATATGATGTTTTTTCCCCTCATCTTCACTTGTGTGATTTTTAGTTTTTCTGTTAAGGGTTGCGCCTCCTCGTGATGACTTCATGAAGATGATCCTTGCTTTGTGCAGGGGTCTATGGCTGCATGACCCAGGGCACCTGTTCTCCCATGTTTGTTCTGTCTTCTTCTAAATGGATGTTCTGAACTGTAATTTCATTGTGCTCTCTGTACGATGTCAATAAAGGTTTATCTTATCTCTAATCTAATCCAAAACACACCTGCTGTGAACCTGGTATGTTTTGTATGTATTTTTTATTGTCTTAACTTATGTTTGTCTTATTGTGCAACACTTTCCTTGTGGTTTTTCTAAAATGTGCTATAGAAATAAAGTTGATTGATTGATTGATTGATTGATTGATTGATTGATTGATTGATTGATTGATTGATTGATTGATTGATTGGTCATTTGTCAGCATGACTGCACACAACCTAACCCTCTATGGATTTAAGGAGCCTGGTAAATTGTGGCCAAAGAAAGAAAGTTTTTTTTCTATTTCTGAAAGAAAATTTTTGATTTAAAATGACCTTTTATATCTCTTAAATACAGTATTTATACCAGACTGTTCTACTTTTCATTTTCTCCCATTCAGTAAGTGAAAATGAAATGCTGATCAAGAGGAATTTCCCATGGAGTTTCCTCTCATTACTCCCACTCTTTAAATCTTCTTCGCATGGCAATAATCACAGTGTTTTTCTTTTCTGTGTTTATGTGTGTGTGTGTGTGTGTGTGTGTGTGTGTGTGTGTGTGTGTGTGTGTGTGTGTGTGTGTGTGTGTGTGTGGGACTATCTGCACGTCTGTGAGACAAGGCGGCACTATCAAGCACACAGCGCGAGAAAGGAGCTTTCCTGATTGCGAACATGCAGAGCTCTCTGTTCTCGGGTGACAGACGAAGAGCAGACTGATTCAATCAGACTCGTTTACTTTCAGGTCTCCTCTGTGGCGGACGGTAAAAAAGAAGGACGAGGACACAAGAGGGGATGGGAGGAAGGATGGAGACCAGCAGAGGGAGAGACAGACAAACTGGCAGCAACAGGATTACAGTAAGAGGAGATGCTAAATCATGCTGAAGGAAACATTTCAAAAGTGTGGCCATGAAAGTGAAACAAAGGAGGATGAAAGGAGGGAAAGGAGAAAAAGAAAAACACACAAACAAGGAGGACAAAGTGGAATAAAAGACAACTAGTGATTAACCAGTTTCTTTCTTTTAGAAAACTTACATCAAMATTGCTGTTAATAGGCTTGTCAGACTAAAATTACAATTTTAGGCAAAACACCAAAAACAACAAACTTGTCTCTGCCAGAGTAACAGAATCCCCKTCTGCTGATTCTTCAGGCCCTACCTTCTCAGTGGGAGATGTGGCAGCCAAATTGAGGAAATGCCCAAACTGCCCAGTATCCCCAGTGGATCTGTAGTTGTGAGTCAAACAGATCCTGGGACATACCATGCTTTCTCTTTCTGAAGTGCTGAATGGTTAGCTARAATTTCTTTGAGGCCAGTTAAAAGTAAATTTCCTTAATTTATTCCACACTTGATTTTTAGTTTTCATTGATTTCAGCCAACTAGGGCTCTGTGCAGTACAAAGCGGGAATTTATTAGCTGTGTAGGAGGAGTTTGTGCTAAACGTGATTGGCAGAGTTTTATTTTTTATTTTTTATTTTTTTTTGTGGGCAGAGTTTGAACCATGACTGGCAGAGTTTGGGGGAAAAGGCGGAAGTTCTTGTGCGAGCCAATTTTGGCAAAACTGAGATTGGTCAGGTGGACTTGTCTCATGGGGGAATTTAAAATGTGAAGTAGTGATAATAGTCAAAGTATTGTGAATATGTAAATATAATTTACTGACTTCAAATTTGGTGCTGCTAGCACCTTCCTGCCTTGCTTTATAACTAAATTTAATATTTATATTTAAAGTTATAAATGCTTTCCATTCCAGCTTAGTTACACGCTCCCCAAGTTGTCCTTATGGCTTCTTCAAACCCCACCCAAAATAATCAATATAAAAAAAAATCACATCTTAAACATGCTCCTCCCACAAAAGCCAAACAAACCAATCATGTCTTGATAAATTCCTCCCACACACCAAGAACCTCCCACTTAGTGACTGCAGAGACCCCCTACTCTGTTCAGCTGCTGGAAGTTCTCCAGGGCAGCTGAGTTCTTAAGTTTGACCACAACAGCAACCTTCASACCACAGAGTTATAAATGACAGAATTTTCGTGTCAAATTGAGAGAGTAAAAATAGAAAAAGAGATCATTTTATAATATTTTTTGTAAATGAAAGCCCTAGAAGGAAGGTCAGCGAGATTAAAGACTTTATGAAAAGAAAACTTGCAAATATGCTGAGCAAACTGTTCAAAAACTCAACACAACTATAAATGTTATATCTTTTTTCCCCCTGCTGATCCAAACATCAGCACCAACTGTGAGAAAACTAAAAGAAACCAACATTTTTTTCCTCTTAGATAAATACGTCAGGACATTTACCACCGCATTATATCACAGCAGGTAAAGCAATCCCTGACGCCTTTATGTGCTCATTATTTTCTTCTCCGTTTGCTCACAATACCCAACCACAGCTAGCTGGCTTCGGTGTAAAGGACAGAGACAAGCCTGAGCAGTCGATAGTTGACAGCTATTAAAGTTTAATGTGGCTTGGAGTTGAATAAAAGTGTGGAGGAAATTTCTCCCTGATGGCTTTATTTAATCACTGTTTAATGAGCACAGATCAATAACGGAAATGGTTTATCCATTTTTAACGTCATCATTTTATCTATCCATCAGTCCATGTGTCAATGTAAATGGAGTTWCCTCAGACATAGGTACAGAAAGACATTCAGGACAATTTAAAAGATGATAATGTCTGYAAATAGACTGTGAAGTGATAAAACTCATCTCTTGGTCTAAGTTTCATCCCTTGCACAGAGCTACACAGAAGCGACATGGCTTTAAAACAGTTAACAAAACAAGCTTTAGCCTTTTTACCTGTTTTTGTGTAGAACATGATCTCGTCTTTAAACTCTTTGCGCTCCTCCAAGGCCTCGTCAATGCTCAGAATGATACTTTCACTGGTCTCAGGCCCGTACAGGAACTTACAGGCACAGCTCTTCTGCATGACCTCGGCCCGAGAGAAGCCTGTGAGTTCACAGAAGCCATCAGAGCAGTAGACAATTGGAAAGCCTTTGGACATCTGAGCATTGGCCAGGATGAAGTTGCTGTCTGCAAGACAAAAAATAAAATAAAATAAAATGAGTGGCAAAGTGACAAAGAGATAATGAAAATATTTTCAAAGCTGTGGAACAAGGGTTGCTCATTTATCATGGTTTTGGAAATAAGACTCCAAAACTAGTTATTTTAAATTCAAATATAAATAAACCGTGCCCTTCCTTAGTACCAGGATAAATGCTGGTTCTAGTTTCATCTCAGAGTCACAAATTGCTCTTGTTTGGTGATTTGGTGTTAGGTTATTTACTGACACACTCACTCCTGACCACAGAGTAAGTGAGCGTCAGGTCATGAGCCTGATAAAGGAGCCTGAACAGAAGGTATGGGAAATAAAGATAAGAATAAATGATGAGTACAAAACAATGGAGACCCAAAACTGTTTTACTTCTAGGCTTTAAATAAATGAATATCAGGCATTAAACTTGGCATTTAGGGATGTTGTTAAGTTTGGCATGTCAGTAGGTTGTTCATTCACATTTATCACCTGCCTCAAGTGGTCATTCGAGGAACTGCAGCCTTTTTATTCAGGTGGATTGATTTATATTTCTAACAGATTTAAATTCTGCTTCATAAAAGGTGAAATGGTAATATTTTTATTACCCATGTATGTTGATTACATGGTGTACAAAAAATCAGAGGTTAAAGATGATTCCAAGGAGGAGCTTTGTTTAAATAGGCAGGGTTTACTACCAGCAAGCGTTTAGGCAGCTCCACCGGGCTACCGCAAGAAATTCAAGGATTTCTCAAATGTATGCATGAGTCAAAGCAACACTCTGTTCCTTATATATATGATTTTTAGAGAATCCAGACTGATAAGAGCATTGATGGAAATGTTTATCAGCGATGTGGAGGCTGGACAATCCAAGGACTAAACATATTTTCTGTCAGGATTTAGCAAGAGGTTTTAACCCAAAATGCAAAGCTCAAAATAAAAAAAATTCTTTACAAAACAAAAACAAAGAGCTGACRAGGCAGCAAAACATAGAAAAACCAAAGGAGGAAGACCAGACGTGGCGTGAAAGCCAATCATGCTCAAGTGATAATTTGTGAGAAACATAAGGAAGATGTGGATGGGATGATGGGAAGAGTGGCTGCAGCTGTGATGTATGAAACCAAGAACAAGTGAGGTGGGTGGGGCACTGAGGAGCACCCTGAAAACACAACTAAAAATCACAAACTTTAAAGGGGTAATATCATGTAAAATCAACTTTTTTGAGTTTGATATCATGTTATAATGATATACTCTCATAAAAAACATGCCCAAAGCCTTGCTCTGACTCATCCATGCATGTTTAAGAAATCCTGCAGCGTTTTTAGGCAGCCATGCTGAGGAACAAAACAACAGGTGGGGACCAGAAATGCCTTTGGGGGCCAGAAACGTCCCTGGGACGTGTCTTTAAGCTGAACTTCTTCATCACAGAGCACACCTCCCCACCCCCCACCCCCCTGCCCATGACTCCTGCAGGCTCTCAGGTGAAACTGAAAGTGAAACTTAACTGTCTGCTGAGATCTCTACATTACTTCTCACTCAGTGAAGCTCTTTTCAGTTTAAAAATGCGTTTGAGGAAATATATTTTCAGATGCCAAGTAAACTACATCATAGCGCACGCGCAAACCCCTGCGCGAATGTGAACCCCCTCTCCCACCGAACGGGATGGGCCAGGACCAGAAGGTGGTTCTTAAAGAGACAGAGGCCAATTTCAAGGCATTTAGAAGAGGAAGTGATGAGAAGATAAGTTTATTTTCTATTTTAACATAAAAACAGCATTTTAATAAGATGACATAGATATGCCTGAGAAACACATAATATTGGCCCTTTAAATAAAACTAATCATAAAACACAAAAGACTATGATAAACAACAAAAACACACAATCTGACTATTACGGCAGCTCTTCTAAAAAAAATGTAACTAACACTTTGGTTATGAGATTACTGCTTCAGCCAGCTAACCGTCACTACCAATACTTGAAACCTCACAGAACAAAAATGGCACCAATGCAGCTGGTCAAGTAGTGCCTCTCTGGCTGTTTGAATGAATCGCTCCCAGGGGCCACTAAGGTGATAATGTGAGTTTTAGCTCGGCTTTACAAAGCATGATGGGATCTTTAGCTCAGGCAGCTGAAAGGCCTGCGTGGGCTGACTGAATGGAGGGTCGTTTACCTTGATAAGCTGCTGATTTATCTGCACACTAAAGAGCAACAGAGCTCAACGCTTCAAACTCAAAGTAAAAAATAAAATACAATTAAATACCTATCTTTATAAAAAAAATTAGGGAGAGCTGTATCAAATTGAGGTGATGTGTTGTTTTAAGATAAAAAGATGGAACGACGACAGAGAAATAAATAATCACACAAAGGCTGACGTTTATCAAGTTTAATTATCTTTTTTTTTCTGTCTACACAGCTGTTTATACCTGATGACACATGAACACACACTCACAGTGTCAGGGTTCTGCAGAATGATGTTGTGCTGGCCTGATAGACAGCTAATGTTTCCACTACAATAGCCATTATACAAAGCAGTGGACAAGGAAGGCTTGGCATTCTGTGTAAGTTATGTGTGTGTGGATGCTGGTTTGTGTGTCCTGCTGCCGTTTGATAAGCAGTCCAACAGCGAAACCCAGCCAATAAATTATAAGCAAGAACATCTGACACGGAGAAGCCGCAGCCAAAAACATAAATCTTGAGACATTTTAAAAATAATTACAGTAAATAAATGAGCCTCTCTCACACACGCACATTTCTAGACTGACACAAATGCACACACAGTGACAAGCTCTGTAATCACTGCTTCAGCAAGTTAACTTGTCTCAATTACGTTTTCATCACAAAAATCTCTTTTCAGCACCGACAATTTCTTTTTTCATCAACTCGGACGTTTAATTGCTTCGTGTTGCCTGTCGAGCGTTGTTGATTGGAAACCACTTTAAATCTGAATGTGAAATACAAAAGCACACAAAGCACCAATATYTGGTATATCTTTCTATATATAATCCTAGTTATCAAAAAGTGCTCACCTCTACATGCTTTATAGACATGCTGAAAGTTGCCAGACATAAACACTTCATTTGTTGTTCTACAATCATACCAACTCCGAAAAACTTCTGTCAAATGTAAAAACAGAATGCAATGATTGCAAAAGTCATACACCCACTTTTTTTAAATTATTTTTTACAAAATAACATTAGCATGTAAATGTTCATGCYGAGACACTGTATTAGTTTTAGGTTCAAAAAGAGTTAATCTGATGGCAGCAACACATTTCAGAAAAGATGCTTAAACATTGCACAAAAAGTAAGGAAATTTGTTTGGTACACTATTCCTTTGTTGAAACAATAATGCTTCTTGGTAATAAATCTTTCACTTTTGGAAAGCCTATTAATTTCCCTTTTTTATGGTGCCACATTTGTAAGGAACATGCATTTGTGGGATGAGCATTAGAGCTGAGTATGTGAGTTGCACACATGAAATATTTGCCACATCTCTGCCAAATGGCTTATTTTGCTGTTGCTATATTGACTCTAGTTTTGAGCTTCTGGTATCCCCCAGATGCTGACAATCAGGTGCCTGACTGGCCTACACATTCTCACTCCCGACTCGTCACATGTTGACGCTTAAGGTAAGGTTCCCTCTGCGTCTTATTTTGACGCATCAGGTGCCCCCCTCACGTCAGTCCTTGACGCCCGCGGCTTTTCCGGGTTGCGCCACCAGGGGTCTTTGGGTCGAGGGTCTGAGGTTAACATGAGGGATCAGGATTAATGGTTAAGTTTAGGTACTGGGATCAGGGGTAGGATGTCCATGGTGAATATTAGGTAATTTCAGGCTTTGGAACATGTTTACGTGAATTTCCTACATTTTCTAAAAATGGTTAATTTTAGGTACTAGGGTCAGGGACAGGATGTCTAAAGTGAACAAAGGTAATTTCAGSCTTCGAAACGGTAGTTTTTGCTCATTTTCTACTCTTTCTGAAAATATGACAACAGATTTCGCCCCATCTCGTCAGTAACTGACGTGACGGGGGTACCCGGCGCGTCAAAATCGGACGTAGAGGGAACCTTGCCAAAGCGTCAATATGTGACAACTTGGGAGTGAGAATGGGTTGGACTGGCAGCACCTGAGAGTATTGGTGGCCCTGCTACATTGCCAGTAGGTGTCCTCTCCAATCGGCATGCCATGTTTGACAGATCAGGATAGGGCCCGTGTGATGAGTTTATGAGGGATTTCCTCCAGAATTTGGAAGTGGAGAGGATGGAGTGGCCTGCCAGCAGTCCTCACTTCAACCCCATTGAACACTTGTGGGATGAGCTTGGGCGTGCTGTTCGTGTGACCAACACAACCATGTTGGCTAACCTGCAACAAAAGCTGGTTGAATGGGATGCCATCCCACAGCAGTGTGTGACCAGACTGTGTATGGTTCTTCCACATGCTACTGAGGCTCTGTTTGTTAATTGTCAATATGTACTGTTTCTTCAMACTTCAATCATCTAGTCCACCAAACACCAAAGAATTTGGTTAACTCTTTCATGTGTACAACCCACATACGCAGCTACAGTATACTGAGAACTCTATACTCTGCTCATTCCACAAATGCATGTTCTTTACAAATGTGGCACCATTTAAAAGGGAAATTACCAGGCTTTCCAATGATATAAGATTTATTGCCAAGAATCATTGCTACAAATAATCACCAAACACAAATTTTCTTACTTTTTGTGTTTAGATTATTTAGTGACAGGTCAATACGTAGGCTGTTCATAAAAGAGAATTTTAGATCAGCTGAATCTTTAATTAGTAAAGATGTGCAGAGGTTCACCAGTTTATGAAAAAAATGCTTAAAAATGGAGCAATTTTAGAATAATAGTTTCTTAATTAAACTGGAAAGACTTATAATTTCCCATTGTCTTGAGTTCATAATATCATCCCAAAAAAGACCTTTTTGATTTATGTTTACTGTGAAAAATATAGACAAAAAACTTTAATGTGGTATTTAAAA